AAGAGAAATCGTATATACATAGAACATTGATATGAAAAAACTTGAGAAAAGTTTAGTGTCATGAAGAACTTGAAGTGAAAATTTGGCTCTTCCAAATTTGATTTTATGCAGACGATGATTAATACTCATAGGCAATGTACGATTAATATTGTTCAAGAATTTTGAATTGAGATAAAAATGAACTATATGATAATTCGGCAGATATTTCGATCGTATTCATGTCGGTGTTGTTAATATTAAATCAAAAGTAATGAAGAGACATATAGTGACTGATCGTTTGTTTTTTTGTCTTCTAGAAAACTTGTAAATTGTTACAAAATCTGATTCTAATCTTATTTGATAAAGAGCCTATGTCTCTACAAAACTGTTGACTTGAGGGTCTGGGTGTGGATGTGAATGTGAGTATGTATGAATAGAATAGTGACACCCACACTCTATAACGAATCGAATTCGATCTACTGAAGAAAATATGTAGTTTATCTAATTACATATTAGTAAAACAAAAGTGAAGCTGATACAGGAGAAAACGAAACAAACAAGCAGCTAAAATTTGTCTTTGTCCAGTATTCTATCATTCACATCAATTAAGTCATCTGAAACTGCTCAAATAAATGAATGAGTTAAATAAGATTTTAAATCATCAATTAAATATTCATTGAATCTTATTCATAATTTAGAATTGGCTAGTCAAGAACTCGTTTAAGAATATGTTATGAGAAAACATATGTAGATGTATATCGTGCGTTTGTAAATGTTTGTGATACTTTTTATTTAACATTTGTCTCAGTAAGAGAAATCATTAAATTTTTAATTTTTTTCAAAAGAAACTAGACCGTTGAATTCTGCACACATATATGTTTATCTTAATGTAAAACAATAGAGATAAATATTTTTATTGATTACATTGTATGTTGATATGAGTTCAGTCTAGTTCTCATACCTTACTGCTTCTCGTACAAACAAATGTTTAGTTTTTGAAAAGAGAAATCATTGTTAGATTGTTTCTACTAGTAATCGTAAGTCTATACGGAGATTTTCAATGATTATTCGTTTTTGAAAAGAAAAATATATGATAAAATGTCATAAATATTGCCAAGTTGTGTTCATTTTTACACTAAGCTTTGCATAAAATAAACTTATTTTCCTATATATATATAGCCTAAATAGCACACGATACAAGTAGACAGTTGAAACAAAACAAAATTCTTATTATTTTGAAAAAGAAAATTTTGTTTTGATGCAGCATTTCAGACAAGTCATTATCATTGAATAAAACGAAGTTGGATTTTGATGAAACGCTTACAAATAATTCTGAAAAAATAATTGATATTCTATCAGATTACGAAAAATCGACATTTCAGCAGCATGTTTGTGCAATCGAGAAAAAGTTGTCATGTTGTATGATCTATAAAAGCATTCATCTCAATTCTGTTTTTTTAACATCATTTCAGTGTAAATTTGTAGCGAATTGAATAGTGCATTTTCAAAAAAATTTTCAAAATTTAAAAATTGATCTGTGCTAAGATATCGGAAAAATGAAAAATGTAACATAACATTTCCCAAAGTTCATTTCGAAAATATCGCAGTTTCAGAAATGCCAAGCTTCTATTTTTTTTTGTCTGTGAACAATAATTCATAGCTTTATGAAAAAAATAGATCTTTGATGAATAATATTGAATATCAACTATAAGGTAATTTTAATGACAAAACGCTACACAAATATTGAAGTTGTATCAATCATAATTTACTCATGTTTTCTTCAAGTGATGATGAAAATATCAACCACATAGAACTTTTAAGTGAGATTAATTTTCAAAGTTTTTTTTTCAATTCAATCCTCATATAGAAGCAATATTGCTGACTTTGTATGAGGCATATGAATTATTTATGGGTGTACTAAATCCGAGTAAATCTTTGTGTCAATTATAATAAGTTTTTTTCACTCTACTCGATATTGGTATTCTATTTCACTAAATCTATTGCGAAATAGAATGCCAATATTGAGTAGAACAAATCAAACTGATTATAATTGACACAAAGATTTGCTCGGATTTGCGGGGCTTTGATACCGAAAAAATCTACAAACTTTGTGCTAGCTGCACATAATTTAGTACATCCCTAAATTCATTCGCTCAATATTTTATTTGGATAGATTTCTGAAGATAGTAAATATTATCTACAGAGCTATACTATAGACTCATACATAAAGTTGTTTAGTCATTTTTTTCTATCATTTGCATTTCTTTAGTGATCATCATGTATTTTCGATTCTTGAGAATACTTTTTCTACTGGTTACTTGTATATCGTATGTGATTTCGCAGTATGAATGTAATCAACGATTGGTTCCATGTGGTTGTGGCTTTAAAAATGTTGAGATGAATGCGCGTATTGTCAATGGTGAGAATGCAGTTCCCTACAGTTGGTCGATGGTTGTATCACTTAGATACGATTGTTACGATGATGGGAACATTTCCAGTCATTGTTGTGGTGGTACTATTCTAAGTGATTCATATATACTCACAGCTGCACATTGTGTCAACATGATATCTCTATCTAGCCTCTTAGCAGGCAATTTTACGATTGCTGCTGGTCTTTATAGACGATCTCAAGAATGTCAAACAATTAGAAAGGTTGATAAAATTTTTATTCATCCTAATTGGTCTATATACGAGAATAAACTCAGATACGATATTGCTATACTTCACTTGGAAGAGCCACTTGACTTTGACACGAATTTGTTTATTAGTCGAACGTGCCTTCCACCTCGATTAAATTCTATAAATGATATCATAAACTATCCACCTTCTAATATTTCTCTAGCTGTGATTGGATGGGGTTTTCTTCAACCTTCCAATTTTACACCACCCGACATACTACAGCAGACAACTCTTTTATCGATTGATCAAAACAATTCAAAATGTGCTAAATCGATCAATCATATTCAAACACAATTTTGTGCAGGAGATGTCGAAGGTAGCAAAGGTAATTTGCTTGCTTTTATTTTCGAAAATTTGTGTATTATCAGTCAATTTTACGCTTTTGTTTAAGCTCCATGCTTCGGTAAGTATGTGGAAGGTGTCAACTTTTTTCTCTCTCCATGTTTCACTCTGTAGGCGATTCTGGTGGTCCAATTCTTCGATGGATTGGTGATCGTTGGGAACAAGTTGGCATTGTTTCATATACAATAAACGGTTGCTCATCACCTAGTTATGTAACTGTTTTTACACGAATTGCTGCTCTCAACGATTGGATCGAGTCAACCTTGACTGTTTATAATACATCGACGTCTACCACGATTATCTCAACTATTACAAGTGCAACGACAGATGCATTACCTTCAATTACTTATCATTGTGAGAAACAAAATGTTTCATGTGGTTGTAGTATTATCAATGTTTCATTTCTTCTATCAAGAATTATTGGTGGTCATGAAGCAAAACTATTTAGTTGGTCAATGGTCGTTTTCTTATTGTCGATCAGTAGTAATGAACATTTTTGTGGTGGATCCGTGCTCAATAATGATTACATTCTAACATCTGCACGATGTGTAGAAAATCAGTCCATATCGGACATCTTGGTTGTACCAATAATACACAATCCATCGGATACAGCTTGGTCCCACTTTCGTCGTGGAGTCAAACACATTTACTTCCATCCTAACTATACAAGTTCATCTAGTGAATATTTAAATGATATTGCAATTTTACGTTTATCTTCATCGCTCAATATGGAAACAACTGTACTCATTTCTCGAACATGTTTACCTCAGATTAATTCAACTGATGATGTTACAAATTATCCTTCAACTGGTACAAAACTAGCTGTGGTCGGATGGGGCAAACGACACCCGAATGCTTCTAATTTGGTCAATAATCTTCAACAAGCACAAATCTATTCATTTGATAACAATGATCCGACTTGTTATTCACAAATAGTCGATGCAGAGAAACAGTTTTGCGCTGGAATGGCTGGTGGTATCCGAGGTTTGTTCCATTGATGTAAACTCTAGCTTTAGAATTCATTGGATTATCTTTTTCTATAGATGTGTGTACAGGTATTATAAAATGTTTTTTTTTTTGATAAATTAAATGATCATTCCGATTTTATTTCAACCAGGCGATATGGGTGGACCGATATTTCAATGGATGTCAAATCATTGGGAACAGGTAGATATTATACGATAATAATGAATAACAAACTATAACGAATATTATGGGTGGTTTCTAACAAAAATCACATTGATTTGTTTCTTTTGACTTTTTAACTAGTAAGACCTGTCAGTATTAGGAAAGTAACACAACAGAACTATTCTCTATGCAATTAAAAAATTAACACTCCAAAATGCTTATCATGACCTGTAAGACAGGATGGTGATGGTGATTTGTGCTTCTCTTCATTTCACAAAAAAGGGTCTGGAGGTCACTCTGTAAACTTTCTACGGAATAGTTTTTATTATGTCATTTTCCTGATGATGACACGTCTAACTTCTTAAAAATTCAAAAGAAAACAAATTAATAATTATATTTTCTCCGTTTTACTATTCATTATTCTCTCACTACTACTTTAGTACTTTACCATCTTGATGCTTACAAATTATATATTGATCATAGATTGTCAGAAAGAGATAAATGAACTTTCTAGAATTTTGAGAAATTAATATGCATTTCTACTCTTTATTAAACAAGTAACAATTAGAAATTAGTCAGCCATAAATGCATGATCAGATAATCTTTAAATTTCAAATAATTTACACTGGAATCTTTTCATATTTCTTTTCTATATGATGATGGCGACTTTCCATGAAGACATTCGAGTAAAAAGATGTGGAATCTTCATGATACTTTCTAATGAGAATGTCACTTTTTTTGAAGTCCCAAGAGAAAAAATAATAAGTTTTAATATCTTTAGATAAAAAGTAAATGGAGTGAAGTTCAAATCTGGAAGTATAAAGGTTCGAGTGCAAAAAAAAGCTTATCGATCGGTTCGAGTTTTTAGAATTGGAATTAACTGACTAGTTCTATTGCACTCAAATCTGTATAATTGTGCTGGAGAATGATGTTGAAGCTGTAAATTTTCTGGCAATACGATTGACTAAAGAAAATAGAATAAATTTTTCGAAAAAAAAAAATTAAAAACTTTTCTTGGACTACATTGGGCTACTCGAATCTTGTAATATACATTTCAGACTTTTCTCAAGAGAAGTCTCCTATGATAGAAGGGCGAAATGTCCAATTGCAGAGGATTACTCATTTCTTCATCAAAATGTGTTATAACGGTAAAAAAAATCTTAGATGCACATCTGTAGATTTGTTTTGTTATTTTTGAAAACATTCTTTATTTAAAGAAAGAAGTGTACAGATTTACATGTATTATGCGTACACTAAAACGCTTCAACTCAGTTGGATATATCTAGTTGAAGAACATGGTGCATTACTTCAGATCATTTTGACAAATTGATTACAACTGGTGATTCTCAGTCTAGTACAATTTTTTCTGTACTACTCAATTGTAACAGTGTTGAAACTTTCAATATTCTGATCAATCGTTCTTCAGAAACTTTAGAAAGAAATGGGATGTTCTGAAAGAAAACCTAGCTTACATTTCAAATCATTCTTTACAGAGAACATTGTTTAATTGTAAACATAATTGATTCTTATAAAAGTTTTCTACTGCGATTATATTATGTTGTGTCATTATAAATAAGAACATTCAATTTAAAATACAAAAAGAATTAAATAGAAAAAAACAAACAAACAAGTCCCATGAATACCGCAGTGTGAAAAGTACATTTTCCTCTTTTCATAATTTTATTTTATTTTCATATGTACTTTACTTTGTCTGAAGTTTCTGAGATCGCTCTGATTCTAGAGGAGAGCTGATTTTCATAGATTTTTGAATGTTCTACTACATTCCAAGATGATTTTTAGGAGTGGTGAAAATTATCAGAAATTCTAAAAGTTTTGCTTGCTAACCTACATATAATTAATAATGCTGTTAAAATAACTTACTCTAATGTTTCTGTCGTACATTATTAAGGTGGGCATTATAAGTACTACTCAATGTGGGATAAATTCTGTCCCTAGTATTTATACACGACTGGCTAGCTATAACAGTTGGATCACATCTATTATGAATACTGACAGTGCAACTTCGACTGCTACGTCCACATCCATCAGTATTACTTCAGAAAATCCCACTATTCATACTTATCTTTGTAACAAGAACATGAGAGATTGTGGTTGTGGTTATCAAAACGTTCAACTTGCTACGTCAAGAATTGTTGGCGGGAACGAAGCTATTCCATACAGTTGGTCGATGATTGTATCGATTCGATACAATTGTAATTTTGATGGAAATGTTACAGCACATTGTTGTGGTGGTACTATTCTCAACGATTATTATATTCTTACGGCTGCACATTGTGTTGAACAAATCGATCAATCATCTGTACTATCACAAAATATTACTATTGCTGCTGGAATTCACAATCTATCAGAAAACAATCAAACAATTCGACGTGTCGATCAGATTTTCATTCATTCTGAATATGCAGGACAGCCACAACTATTTAAAAATGATATTGCTATCCTTCATCTAGACAAACCACTTAACCTTGACATTAATCCATTTATTACTCGAACTTGTATTCCACCTCGAATCAATTCATCTGAAGATATCATCGAATATCCATCAAATGGATCCATGTTAGTTACTATAGGTTGGGGCATGACAGATCAGTTGGGAAACGTTCAACCTCAGGTACTACAACAAGTGAGTATCTATGCAATTCATCATAATTATTCGACATGTAAAAGATCCATTGGACATATTAATGTCCAATTTTGCGGAGGATTGTTTGATGGTCGTAAAAGTGAGAATTTTCTTATAACTACGGAAATGACAACATTAATTCTTTTTATTGGTACTTTTATTTAGGTATATGTTTTGGTAAGTAATTTTGTTTAAATTAAGAATGAATGAATTTACTGATTTCTTTTTTTAATATTTTTTCTATAATAGGTGATTTCGGTGGTCCAATTTTCAAATGGTTGGATGATCATTGGCAACAAGTAGGAATTTCCTCATATGTGATGAACGATTGTACATCGGTAGGCTATCAAAGCGTTTTCACAAGACTCGCTTCTTTTTACGATTGGATCGAAGGAATTGTAAATCAAAGAAACATTACAACACTACCTTCTTCTAAAACTACTACTACTCCTACGGCGATTAATACTACGAAATCTTCAGATTTCTTTCCATGTAATAGATCTGCTCCGTGTGGTTGTGGGTACAATGATGTACTTTTAACACCTTTACGTATTATTGGTGGTGAAGATGCTATTGAACATAGCTGGTCAATGGCGGTTTCACTTCGTTTTGGCACACCTAAAGTTCATGGATGTGGTGGAACCATTCTTTCAGCTTCGTATATTCTTACTGCAGCTCATTGTGTATGGGAATATGTAGAATCGCCAAACATGGTGACTGTGGCAGCAGGTGTGACAAATCGATCAGATCCAATTGTCTACGAACGGAGTGTCTCTCGTATCTATGTACATCCAAATTATACCCATTTTTTCTTCAATGAATTTCTTAATGACATTGCTTTGCTGTATATTGACCATCCGTTTATATTTCACAACCATGATATGTTGTCCAAAACGTGTGTACATCATGTCGATCCGCCAATTTCTATTAGTCAATATCCAAAGAATGGTACGCGTCTTGCTGTGATTGGTTGGGGTAGGATGACTTCAGAAAGTTCGGAATTAGCCGATAATCTTCAACAAATTCAAGTATATGCAATGGACAATCACGATCCGGCATGTTTCGAGTCAATTAACGATGTTGATATGCAATTTTGTGCCGGATTATATGAAGGAGAAAAAGGTCCGTGAGTTACAACTCAATCTTAAATTTATTTAGCATAGCTCTAATGTTGTTCAAATGATCTTTTATTATGAATGAATATTACAATCGATTTAGGAAATGCAGAATGTTCGTTTTCTTTGTTTCTAACCATTCTTTCGTCTGTATTATGGACAAACTCAACAATAATATACGTACAGAGAATGAGTTTTTCTATTTTTTCCTGATATTAAACGAATGTTTAATCAGGAAAAGAATTAATTTAGGTCTGTACAATCTTATTCAAAGAAATTGTCCCGTTTCATGCACAATTTAGCAGATAAATTTTCATTTGAGCAAAATTAATAGGCAACTTTTTTTATTCTTAATATTATTGAACTGCATCAATCTCTATTTCCTTTCTAGATTCTTGCCAAGGTATGTTTTCAAACATTTTCGAGTTTTTGTTTAGAAAAAAATTCTTTTTTGACTATATAGGCGATTCAGGTGGACCCATTTTTCAATGGACTGGACAATATTGGGAGCAACTAGGTGTGGTTTCTTATGGGCTTGGCTGTGCACAACCCGGCTTTCCCGGTATTTATACTAGATTGCCATATTATTATGATTGGATGCAAAACATTCTTAATATGGCTGGTGAACATATCGAGCCACATGTGTCATCGCATGTCAGCACCAATACTACAACAGTGACAGCCGCTATCACTACAACTAAATCTCCATCAACCAGCAGTTCAACGAGCTATCTTATACAAACGAAAGAATTTCTTATATTCGGAACATTGTTTGTTCTTTTACTGGTTCTTCGATAATATAAAGATTGCTTGACGTTTGCTTATCTTACGAGAGAACATATATCTAACTATTAATCCCTGATTGACAGAATATTTTACTCATAAGTAATCTTATAAGCATTAGAATTTTCTAAAAATTTCTACTAAAGAAAAATATTTAAAAGAATTATCATATCTAATAAAAAATAGTCAGCTGATTAACTTTTCTTCAGCATTCCATGTCTCAAGAAATTATACATTATTTTTGCTGAAATTTTTAGAACATTCTAATAATCATTAGATCTATTCATGAACAAACTTCGGTCATTCAATTTTTTCATAAATGCTTTGCTAGAGGTTGAAAGTCCAATAGAATAATTGTCACTTGAATAGAGCAACGTACGGAAACAAATCCCTTTAGAACATCTGACTAATCGCTGATTAACAGTTGGATATATTTCCTCAATACTTTTAATGGGCGATTTTTATTTGTCTCATGTAAAATAATAGCTAGAACAAATCTAAAAAAAAACTTAGTTCACTGACTAAAACAGTTTAATTTTAGAATAGATGCTTTTCTGAATTGAATTAAACTATTTTTTTGACATAAGAATCTCTAAGATCAACAATACTTTGAAACTAATCAAACACAATATGAAAGAAAAATTCAGAAGAGTACAGTATTCCGATTCATTTGAAAGAAAATCATGAAAATGATTTCGAAAAGAAATTAAGACATTGTGAACAGTTTCTTCGAAAAACTATAATTTTCGAATAATACAAAGACATCGATGATAGTCAACAAAAAAAACTTCATTGAACACGTTCTTATAATCAATCGAGATATTCCAAAGAAGAAACTAAAAACAAGAGAATGTATGAAAACATCAGATTCGAAAAACGAAACAGCATATAATTGAAATCCACTTTCAAATGACAATACGTTTCACGAGTGGGAGTGAGTGATGATTGAAATGTGGGTGTCTGTAGATGAACAGTAGACAAGCACCCACATCTTTCTTTAATATTTTCTGTTTAACGTTTGAAATAGAATTCGAAGGCGGGTATATAGCAAAACAAACTCGATGACTAGGAATTTCATTTGATTATCATAAACCTCTTTTTCCAATTCGAATATCACCTACTGTCAAAAAGGATGAACAAGAACAACAACACAGTAAAATTGAATTGTTGATCATTTATGGTTGTTTCTATCTAGATAAATTCGCTACAGTTATTTCACATTTTTCTCAACTTCATCATTTATATTGTTATTCTCTCTATGTATCACAAAATAGCACAATAGAACAAAGAACAATTGTAATCTGTTTTATGCATTTATATTTCGAGTTGGGTGATAGTTCATTTAACAGATTTTAATCTTTTATTTATCACATGTATGGTAATTTAATACAAATAAAGAGACAATTACTCCCAACGAGAGCAAAAATAATCAAACTGGACATACTAAACTCCAATAGTAAGCCCCAACTCGACGTCATTAATTCGATTGTTTGATATACCACATTATTCTCTTGGACATCTATATAGCACTTTAACATTAGTTATCTATTGTCGATTTATTGTTGATGTTATATAACCTTGTTTTAATATTGAATTAGTTTGCTTAACTTGCCTTATGAGATCGTTGAATAGTTGACGCGATTTTGGTACATATTGATCAGTTCGAATTAGTTGTGCTACGGCTCACATTTGATAATGATCATCCACGTTTATTTTTCACTATAATTCTTGTCATTTGTATTTGTATCAATGTAACGTTTTTAAGACGAATACAATTCAACTCGGTCAATGCACTTGTGAAATCACTCAATAATTATTTGATTAAAGTATCAAGATTAAATAACTGAACAACAGATGTGCTGTGAATGAGTTCGAGCAAAAATTGAATAATATAATTACCGATAATCGGCAGGAGAGATGAGACAATAGTTCTAATAATGGTGATTTGTGAAAGTAACGAACATGGCTGTGATAATGTAGTTGTTAATGATGTGCTTGAGAAAGAATTTTCCACGAAAATAGTTTGACTCCTCGCGACTGAAGAACTGAGTGATTCTATTTTTGTCGCGCCATGAAACTCTGAGATGACAGTAGAAGGGAGTGAAAGTGATGATGAATTCATAGTTACTGATAGCGATTGTTCTGTTGTGATTGAATTGTTTGCATTGGTCATAAGTTCAACTGCCTCTTACGTTAGTGGGAGCAGACGCTTAATGGTGGTTCTTGGAAGTTCTGATTTGAGAAGAGTGCGAATGCTCGTCCACTGGAGAAATCGCACAAAGGCTCATAAATCCGAACCATGTTTTCAGCTTCTACATATATTGCACATGATGGACTTAGATTCGGAATTTCCTATAAATAAGCCCACTCAGGACGAGATCTTCTTTTATTTCTTTCAATAAATTCAAACTGCTTTTATTCTGTTTCTTGCTCCTGCGAATAAGCTTAGATGAAAAGAAAAAAAAAACAATCAATTCTTCTTCTACCAAGTATAAACCCAGGCATACGAGGTAACAATCGATTGCGTCGGTGACCCGAGTGCATTTCCACCTTGATAGACAAGACATTTAAAACCACGATCATCAAGAACATCACCATTTCTCCATTCAAAACGAAAACCATTGTTAAAAAAGATTGGATCGAGATCATGCATTCGATAAGCAGACCATTCCAATGTACTATTAGATACTTGTCGAAAATGTGTAAAACCCGAAACTTCAAAATGAAATTGTCCAGCATTGAAATAAAAAGCACTATCGAAATAATCTTCCGTACCCGTCGAGACGATTACACCTGGGAACGCTTGTTCATAGTCTGGATAAGCATGATAACATCCTTCGAGAAATTCTAGATTTCCACTGATAACTGCTAGACTATGCGAAAGAAGAAGACCTCGACCAGTTGGAATGTCTACCACACGAACCCATGCGAATGGATCATAAGTTGTATTTTCAATTTTATGTAAAACTAAGCGTGCATTGGTAGGAAGTTGAAAGCCATGAAATGCAGTGGGTAGATTTTCTGTGCCGCGTACAATGGTCCAGATCGCTTTTCTATCGGTCACACCGGCGGATAGGCGACCAGTTACTCGAATAGATTTTTGAAATGGAACTCGACTAAAGTATGAGGAAAAAATCTAAAACCAAAATTTAGATTGAATATCTCCTTACAAATTATTGTACCAAGCACCACCTCTCGCTCCTTTACCCATCCATTTCGTACCCCAAGGTGCGGTTTGATCATTGAAACCAACTCCAGCTACCATATAACTTACAAATTGAATGGATGAAACGCTTTCGCCATCGACGTAGTACGAAAAAGTTGAGAGATCGATCGCTAGAAAACAAGACAGACAACTGTTCGTGTGGCAATCCGAAAGAGCAAGTGAAGGAAAAATTTACCAGGATCACCCGTCGCCCAAAAATGCGTGAGAACACCCCATGATGAAGAAGAAGCAAGTGTATGATTAAAAATTTCGGTCTAGAAAAGTGTCATATTTTCAATATCGATCAAAATGAACTCTTTACCGTGAAGATTTACCTCATTCGGATATAGCCATTGAGAAGAAAGACCAATACCAAATGTTTTCAAATTTTGAGCTTGTAGAGCTACTGCAGATACTATTAACAAGAACCAGACATGCATGTTGATAAATAACTAGCAAGACGAGTTAGATTACTTTTGTTTATGGTTCTTATCTACCTATCTCTTTTGAAACGTGATACCAACAGGTAAAACTCAACTGATACAACATAGTTGACTGATGTATATGTGGTCCAATTTATGTCATTGGCAAATGAAGATTTTAGACCAGCAATGTATGAAATAATTCCATCATGTCAATCTAAGACCTGCATCTCACAGTGCTTTCCCTGCCAACAAAATAACATACCAATACTGTATTAGGTCGTCTAAGCCGTCTCCTCACTCGAAAACAGTAAATTTTGTTCACGAGACTCGAAACTGAGTTAAACCCATGATATGATTTATTATTTGACAATCTCTTTTTTTGTCATGAATTTTTATGATCTCTGTCATTCTGTCTTTAAAAACTGCTATTTTTTTAGAGGAACAAGTCTCGAGAGGTTCACTTGGAAAATAATCATCTTAATGAAACCTCGAGACATGTTAGATAAGTTTCACAAAGCTTCTGGGAAAGTAGAACGTGTTCAACAGAATGACGATACCTCACTTCATATTTACCCAGAAAATAGTTAGAAATACTCAAATGTTTTACTTTTTCTCTTTTCTGTGCTTGTTTGGTCACACAATCCATAATTTTCGGAGACACTTCATACTGAGTAATTGCTTCTTGTTTCGGTCGAAAGAGCATGCTTTTCTGCTAAGCCTCACAGAGCCCAATCTTTCAGTTAAGTTTCATTTCGTTACACAGCAAAGTTCTTTTTAGAAGAAGCCCCTCCCTTTGTGAAGCATTTTCTGGCGGTGTTGAACTTCTCAGTCAGTTCTTCTATGTAAAAAGTAAGAATTAAAAAACAGCTCTGTGATTGGTGAGGTTCGGCACCCAAATGTCTTTTATCACATAAAAAAATGGAATATTTGTTTCTCATGTAGGTTTGCAGGGAATTCTGGACGACCGAAAGAGCTATTTTTCGACACTAGTTTGACAACAGTATTCCCAACACCCAATAATATTGAGCTCAAAATTTTACCATAGTTTCTCCACTATAGATCCAACCAGCCTTGACAATTCTATGGACTTCAACGCACTCTTTGCAAAAATCAATTTTGGAGTGGAAGGCTTAAAAGTGCAGCATTTGTTAAAGAGAAGTTGTCTGAGTTTTCTGATCGAAAGAAGGAGACAACACTATCTTTCTGCTTGATTTCGTCAAATAATCCATTGCAATTTTTCCCAATAGAGAGCTGTTAAAATCGTCTAGAATTTGATCTGTCCATCAATTGACAAATGCATCCATACGTGTCCAGTTATTTCAGTTTTTATGGGAAAATACTAGCAGATAAACGTTGTCTTTCTCCGAGTTGGTACCTGCAGGCGATTCATCGGTGATAATGGTAATTATGAGAAAGAGAAGAAAAAGTCATGAAGAACTGTTTCTTTCACAAAGAAAAAAGTGATGCCATAATCCCGTTACACCGGGTATCCACATTCCCACAACACGAAAACTAATAGGGTATTCAACTAAAGTGTATTCACTTCTATTGAATGACTACCAGTTCAAGCAGTAATCACTTCATCTCTTCCAGTACCACAAGAAAAATCGCTTCTCTTCGGAGTATTACCCTAAGGGTAATGACATTATTCATCTAAAAAAACAAAATGCATGTTCTAAAACTTGAGGAATTTCAGTGGTTTTAGTGTATAACCCCAAGTGTATGGACGTCGTTACACAAAATCCACTAAAATTTCTCAAGCTTAAAGAGGTTTAGTTTGCATATCGGTAATGAAGCCATTACTCCTCTTCGTTAGTTGTGTTGTGTGAAACTGAATTCACTTTATTGCTCTGTTGGGTATCCTGACGTTTAGATGTCGATACTCAGGGTAATGCTATTATGACATCTATGAAAATACATAAAGAGATTAATAGTTTACTTTGGCTTTCATCATATGGTAGCATTATGTGAAATTGTCCATTGATTTTATTTAAAATACATATATATATATATGTTTAATATGAAGTTATTAAAATGAAATCATGGGAACATAGAAAACATACTTATCATTTCAATATTTTTCATAGGGGTCAATACGAAAACTTTTTCTCTTATCTAACGTAGAACCTATCAATGCAACTTTTTAATAAAACCAAAGTATGTAAATGCCGCATATTTTTTGACCAATTGTTTGAATAAAATCAATTTACTTTTTTCAATGTAATGAATGACTTACCCGATCGAAGAAATGCATATCATCGATTGATAATTTTACCTATTTTATTAAACAGTTTTACAGTAATGAATATTGTT